GAGACCGGCTATGGCTCACTTCTCTGATGTGTGGGAGTGGCTAGGAAGCCAAGGCCTGCAACCTCGGCTAGAGAGATTTACTCGAGATGAACTCCTTCTAATATTGATGGGGCTCCCGCTGTACCATACGTGGCTGGGAGCAAAGATTGACATGGTAACTACCTGCAGTGATGCAAGTCCCACAGGAGGAGCAGTTGCGATTGGGCGCTCATTGACTACGGCTGGAGCGAGTTTCCTCAGCTCCCAAGAACGTGCTAACCTCCCTGAGTGTGTTCCAGTGGTTGTAATCTCTCAGTTCAACGGTATTGGAGGCGCCGCCCGTTGCTATGATATAGCTGGGGTCAAAGTGAGGGCCATGGTGGCTTGTGACATACATGCTCCCGCAAATCGAGTGGTAGCCCGGAGGTGGCCTGAGACCATGTTTCATGAAGACGCGCGGACTTTGACCAAAGATGTTCTTTTGGAGCTTCTCAAGGATGTTGGGGATTTTGAAGCTGTTCATCTATATGGGCAGGTTTTCCCTGCGTCGATGTGAGCTCGGTGCGTGCCAACAGGCAGAACTTGAGCGGTCCGTCAAGTAGCCTTATTCATGAGGCCATCCGAGTCTTTGGAGACTGCGCGGAGCTCTTCCCGGAGAAAAACTTCCAATTTTTCGTGGAGAATGTCTCCAGCATGAATGGGGATGTGAGAGATGAGATCAGTGCTTTGCTTGAAGTGGAACCTTACCGGTTGGATCCTCGGAAACAAGTCCCCAACTCTAGGCCCCGATTTTGTTGGACTTCACTGGACCTCACCGGCTTTCCAGGGCTGACTCTTGTCCAAAAGGAGGGGTTAGTCGAGGTTGTTGTGGAAGGGGAATGGCCTCTTCCTTGTCAGTGGATAGAGCCTGGTTGGAAGCAAAATGACCCTCTGGCAGTCTATCCGACATTTATGAAGGCAATTCGATGAGACAGACCGCCTCCCCGTCCGGCGGGTTTAGAACGAACAGACGATTTGACTCGCAGCCGGTGGTGGTCGCATGAGTACAGATTCCCGCCTTATCAATATAAAAGCCAATTCCTGGTGACGCATCCCCACCAAAGTTCTGCCAGGCTGCTCAATGCGAGCGAGCGTGAAAGACTGATGGGATACGGTCATCAACACACGATAGTGTGCATGGCAGCGTCAAAAGCCAAGGGCAACAAGACCGCCTTCGAAGACGAACGTTGTTCCCTGGTGGGAGATTCGTTCTCCATTTGGTCGTTCTCACTGTTTGCGGCGGCCGCAGTTTACCGTTGGACCAAGTTCTTTGATGTGCAGGTTTTGTTTGGTCGTATGGGCTTACCCCCCGGCTGTGGTCTCCGTTTGCCCTTGCTTTGCCCCCTGCAGGTAGGTGTTGAATTCCCAGCGTGCGCCGCCCACCATGTTGTTGAGGATATGAATCGGCATCTCGCTGCCAGAGCTCGTCACACCGGTAGCGATGTGAGAATTTCGACTGGACAAGTGTTGAACCCAAAAACTTTTCCCCGTCAAAGCGTCTGGTCAGTTTGGTGGGAGTGGAGCCACGTTTTCAAAACTCGGTGAGAGCATGAAGAGCATATAAATGCACTTGAATTGCGTGCAATCTACCTCACATTGTTGTGGCGTGCGTTGAATAGGACCATCACCAACCGCAGGCTTTTCCACCTCACAGACTCATATGTCAGTTTGAGTATCCTTTCTAAAGGAAGGACGGGGAGCCACAAGCTTACATACATTGTGAGAAAAATTAACGCAGTGCTTTTGGCAGCTCATGGTCAGTTGTATTTAGCTCACATTGACTCGGCTGACAACCCAACTGATGAAGGGTCTCGCGCCTGATGTCCTGCGTCGCCGCCGGCGCCTCAAACGGCGGGGGATTTCGTTGCGGGATCAAGCCATTACGACTAAGACCCGTATTCGATATTTCCTGGTGGTCACGGCCATCCTGCCTTTGTTGGAAACCACGTCAGAAGACATCGAAGACTTTTTGGTTGAGTGGATCGACCAGGAGTATCTTCGTGGCTCCAGCATCACCTCTGTGGCTGACACTTTGTCGGGCCTGCATCATTTTCTCCCTTGGTGCAAAGGGAAGATACGGGCGTGTGGAAGCTTTATGGGATTTGGAGAAGAATAGAAAGACCTAGGCAAGCTCCGCCTTTCCCGCTGGAGGTCATAGTGGCCTTAATTGGACGGACACTGGAACTTGAGGACCTCAGATTTTCATTGTGCCTGTGCTTAGGATTTTGGGGCATGTTGAGAACAGGAGAGCTCTTTGAACTCCGCCTGCGGCATTTGCTCCTGAAAGGTAATACCTTGGTGGTCCGATTGGGTGACACTAAGGCAGGAGTCCGCCGGCAAGTTGACGAGAACGTGGTCGTGCAACATCCAGGAACGGTGGCCATTTGTCGCACTGTTTTGGAGCTGTTTGGGCGAACGCAGACTAAACTCTGGAATCGCTCCACGGCCGACTTCAGAACCCAATTCAAACAGCTGCTTAAGTTTTTTCAGTTGCCCCTTTCCTTTAGGCCCTACTCTTTGCGCAGAGGCGGTGCCACAGAAGATTTCCGCCAACATGGCCTTATGGAACGTAGCCTCTTGCGAGGGCGGTGGGGGTCCTCGGGCGCAGCCCGTCAGTACATCCAAGAAGGGTTGAGCATGCTTACTAAGTCGAGTTTGTCCCCCCCTTCCCAAACCCTCATTGCCCACTATGCTTTGCTTTTTTGATCCTCTTTGAGGACCAGTACAGGGGACGTGGAAGGAGCTGAAATCCTTTGTGTTTCGTGCTTCTGGTTGCAATTGAAATCAATAAGTGACTTGCCAATTAGTCACAGCCCCATAGAGGCATGCCCGCAGAGGCAAAATAAAAGCCCGCAGAGGCTAATCATATGCCCGCAGAGGCATGAGATCCATGGAGGATCAAGTGAAGGTCTATATAGACCATGTGTATTGTCAAGGGGTATTGGTGCTGAACACCAATTCCTAAAACCTTCGGATTGCTGGCCTAAAAAGATGCCCGCTGAGTGCAATATATAATGTGTGTGGTGTCATTGCGCCCAAACATGCCATTGCCATTTTTGTACGTTTCGTACGTACCCCGCGGAACATTCGGCATGGCAAATAGTTGAATACAATTTTTCCTTTTGGAAGACCAGTTCTTGTGCTTCTATCTTGACTTATACTTATATATATATATATGTATATGGGGTCTGTCCCATTACCTGTTACAGTTAATGGGATAGACCCAATATATATAGTTGTTTTCCTCCAAGATGTGATTTTTTCATCCCGTCGCAGCGGCAGGTTGCTGATCTTTACCGTTCAAATGCTTGGCATAGCGCGGCGCTCAACCCGAGACAGCCGGCTGAAGATGAGCGGGAGCTTGAACTTGCAATTACCCCTGTGAACAATCCCCCAAACAAACCAAAAGGGGGTGCATTCAAGCAGCCAAACAATAGGGGTCGCCTAGGTAGCATCACATCATCATATCGTTTGGCCCTGCATCCGACGAACTCTTTTTGACCTTCTGTTGTTTGACCACCAGCTCCAGACACTGTTTTCTACAAAAGGTGTGATTCAGATATGACTAGTGAAACAGATACGCATGATGTGAGACACGCTGCATCCTCTTTGACTTCTCACTCGTTGGGTTTGGGCATTTGCCCCCAAGAGTATGGGTTCAGATGAGGTATTGTCGAGGTGAGTCTGAGGTGAGCATTGTTGATGGCTGACTGGGCAGAAAATAAGTCACTGAACCCTTGGCAACTCACCAGGAGGCTGAATCCCCGCGAAAGAAACTTCAGCAATTAGTTTTGGGAATCAACCTCCGCCAAATGAAGACCGGTAATCATGGGTAGCTTCCTGCCTCGTATTTGGAGGGGCTGAATGCCGTGGGCTATTCTTATTGATTCTCCATTTTGGCGTTCGTTCCTGCGTTTGAAGCCCCTGCACGGACTTTGTCGTGTGCGAGAGGTAGAACATATCCAAGACATTCCAAGACAAGAGGGGCCTCCCTCTCAGTTGCACCGTGAACAACATCGGGATGCTGTGACCGGACCTCCAACAAAGCCTCCAGAATATGCCTCTGACTGTGAACAAGGACCTAAGATCCCCTAGGCCCAGGGTTCCAAACGAGGGGGACTTGCTTCATTTCTGAGTTCGTTGTCCAACAGATCCATTGATGCCAGGTCCAGCTCGGCATGTTCGTACGCGAGCGCTTGTTTGTCTTCATCTTTGCAGGTGCCATGAAGGTGAAACAGGATGAAACGGGCAAGGTGGCAGCATCTTGAAGCAAGATGAAGCAAAAATATACCTTTGGTGTGCTTTTCACCTGTCATGTTGCCCATGGCTTGATGTTCCATAGCTTGATGTTCCATGATGTTCAAGCCTTGAAATCAAAAGTTGATCCCACCGTCAAGTGCTTGACGGGGTCGGCACTTGCAGCAAATGGCTCAGGTGAGGACAGCATCATGCAAAAGGAAGAACAAGCCCGGCAGGCTGAGATCCGCACTGCGCTCGAACCAATGATGCATTTCATGATATTTCACTGGCGGGGGAATGGGATCAAGACCAGTTTTGCAACCCAGCAAGACAGGGCAGTAGCACCACGAAGAGGCACCATGGGCCCCAAAGGATTGGATATGTGTGTGATTGTGTGTGTGAAGTCTTCGGAATGGCTCTTAACTTCGTTTGGTCGGACTTGCTCCTTTGCTCAGACCTGACTGCCCTTGTGCTTTCGGGGCCTTGTGCTTTCGGGGCTCCTTTCTGCGCTACGTTCGGCTTCGATGGCTCAAAGGGTCGCGGGCCAAGCACATGGAGAAGAGTTGGCTGGCCAAGAGAAGCACATGGGTTCAGCCTTCACAAAAGATGTTTGCCCAAACTGCGTTTCAAGATTTGCTGGACTTAAACTGCTAGAGCTTGCCAGAACGACATGCAACAAGGGAACTGAGATACACATGAGAACCTGAGGCATTACTGTAGATTTGTTTGACTTAGGGTATGCACCCACCTTTCTGAATCACTAAACCAGCTGAGCCATCGATGCCTAACTGATGACCACCTCCGAGCTTGGCCTAAAAGAGGCCAAGGAGCGAGGCAGCTTGGATGTGAAGCCACAAGGCTCCCGCAGGCTCGTCGGGTCTTTTTGGATGGTCAACCCATGTGGGAGTCCAGAAGCCAGCTTTGAAAAGTGGAGGAACAACATGTTGTGCCTTTGCTGAACTGTTTGGATTCTTTTGGATTAACGCACACGGCAGACCGGTATTGTTTTACCATGTTGGTTGAGACCTCAGTGGATGGGCCTGACAGCGTGCATGCTTAAAGTGCAACAGTGTCCTTTGTTTGTGTTACGTGGTTATGCGTGTGATTTCTGAGTAGATTGCATAATCACCCCAATGATTTTATACTTGTTCGATTGGGAACCTTGAAGCTGTTCTTGTGCGATCTCCGAAATCGTAGATAACGAAGGATCAGTGGCAGCAGCTGGGTCCTTACCACAAGGAACTGCGCACTGTTGTTGTTTTTCTCGTGGATAGTGGATGGAGCTTTGAATCAGTGGATCTTGGAGGCGACTATATAGTGAGCCAAACGAATGCCACGGCTTCAAATAACCCAAGGGAGGTTGAAGACTAGATTGAACAAGCAACCTTGAAGAACTCCCCTGGGCCACCAGGGGAGGTGGTGCAGACAGGGCCACATTCACCCGGGCCATCCTGTGAATCCTGTGTTGAAGCGAAGCGGATCATGGAGTCCTCACCTGGGCCTGAAAACCGAGGGCGGCGGCGCAACGTGGATGAAGAACTCCTATCTTTGCTCCAGAAGCTGTCCGCGCAGTGACTTCACGGCAAGACTTCACATGTCATGGGCGCTTTTCTGATGCAATGAGTTGGCCGACCCCGTCTCCCGCACTGAGGGCTGACCTCAGAGGCCTCCACTGCGATTGTTCTAGACCCACGAAAATCCTCGAAAAACGAATGGCTTTTGATCACAAAACTTGGGAACCGCACTCTCCCAGTGGAAAAGCCTCCGGATGGACATGAGGGAAGGAAGAGCCTGCAGATGCCTGTGGCATGTTTTTCACAGCCGTGACCATGACCACAGAATTTCTTCACCTTTGCAGCCCGGTCAGTGCCCATTCGTGGTGCATCCGGCACTGGTGCCAAGTGACAGGCTGGATGCGCGCTGGCGTCGTGCTCCCACAGCATGTTGTACTTGCCCCAATCGTTGCAGCTCAAGGTGCGATGGGCTGTCGGTCGTCCAAGGGGGCCGAATTGACGGGAGTTGGGGCCAATTGAGTAGGTTGTGAGTAGATGAGTCGCCGGGGAATGCTCGGTTTCTATATATGCAGTCACCTAATACTTACAGTCAGCATGGGAACCAGTTGCTTGGTGAATTTTGTGAGGAGTCCCAGTCCCTCAGCAAATGAAGAAGGCAAGAAAAGGTCAAAGAAGGAATCTTCTTTGTTTCAAGATGCATTTCAGGGCCATGCAGCATGTCCCAAATCAAGCATTTCAGGGCCGCCATGTGCACGGCATCCGGGATTTTAAGCTAAATTTACGGTCAACGACTTCCATGCAACCAACGCCCCAGACATTGCGTCTCCTTTTGATAAATGTTGATAAGTTTTTGTTTGTTTGTTCTGTCCCGCAGGCGTGTAGGGAAACTCAGATGCATCCCATGCAAACCTTCATGCATCTTCATGCACAGTCCTTGCTTTTTGCGTGGCTTTTTGCGCCTCGCAGGCTCCACATGGCACAAAAAAACATGGTTCACCTGCAGGGATGCATCGAAAGCTTTCCTACTTTGAACTTGGAGCGGGGCAAAAACCACGGTTTCCTGCGCTCCACGATGCGCAGGCCACGCAGCCGGCCCCGCGCGCCCCGCGCCCGGTCGACGCCGGAACGTGGCGGGACGCTGGAGCGAATCCGGGCGCGGCGGGAGCCGAGACTGGGTGGAATTGGAGCGTCATTAGTAGATTAGTAGTCTAGTAATGCCAGGAGCTACTAGTAGCAAGAATGCTCCTGGTATCTCCTCTTTTTGCGATGCCCAGAGGTTCCTAGTAGCTTCATTTTTCCTTTCAAGGGGTATATATCCGAATTTATGCCCGAATTGGGAGGGTGCCCAAGTTGCCAAGGAATGGGTTGAAACATGCAATTTGTTTTGAGACTACCAGGACTACGTGATTCTATGTAATTCAGTCTTCAACAATCTTAAATTCATAATGATATTCACTTCCAGTCAGGAAACTATTTATAGCCTGATTAGACTCATCCTCCAGTGTGGGTCCCGTGTACCCACTAGGTACACTTCAATGTAACATCCACAGAGAAGTTGTGTTTTTTTGGTTGGCCTGTTAGGTCAAAGTGGTCAACACCAAATGCTAGATAACAAAAATTAAAAGTGAACAGGAGTCCAAACTTGGCTATTTTCGCCCATCGAGTGTTGCCCGGGTTCCATTGGACGAGCGGCCTTCCATTGGACGAACGTCTCATGGGCTTTTCGTTGAAATCCAAGACCCAACATGTAGCAGTGACAAGCTTGATGGCAGCAGGGACCTCTACCACTATCCACTGACAGAGGATCCTAGTTTGGGTGCACATTTGTCATTGGACGAGAGGTGGAACTAATATGAACTATATAATGAAGTACTTCGTGGTGTTTTTGTTCAGACAGTGAACAGTGAACTGCTGGATCTGAAAGATGCTAAGAATTGAATGCCTAAACAGAAATATACATATAATTATATATATATAATTGATTCTTCCACGTATTAACCAAAAAAACTCAGGTCCCCCCGAAAACAAAGAACTCCGGTATCGTTTTGTCAATAGCGGGTCCCCAAAATGGGTCACCCGCGAAGATGGAAATCTGGGAAGAGCTTCAAAACCGAAAAGTTGCCTAGGAAAGTTTGGCATTACCGATTACACCCGACTACCGTGTATACTATTACAAATATATACTATTGTAAGGCATTTGAATCCTCTATTAATTGCGTATCAAAGAATGAAAAAAACACCAGTTCGAAGTTCGAAGGGTCGTCCTCTTCCCTTTACAAACACCCTTCATTACAACAGTGATTAGTCGATATTCTTCACTTGTCCTACACACTTTTCATCAGACTAACAACTATATAAAGATTTGATGCCGCTGTGCCATGCGGTTTTGCGCGGCCTCGGTGGAAAGTGCGTTTGCGTGGCTTTGTGCCATTGGGGAAGGGTGCGCATGCGTGTGTAAATGTGGCGTGGCGCTAGTGAGGGGCATGTGATTCTAGTCGGTGGGCACCTAATAAAAGCAAACTTCAAATATTATTAGATGTTTAAGAAGGAAGCCGTTTAAAAGCAAAAGCTGTATTTTAGGAATCTGTCAATGTTTTCTTCATGATTTTTTAGGCACTCGAGATTATACGTGCACTGCATCATAGTTATATATTTGGTTATTATATATATATATATATATATTTTTTTCTATTTTTATTGTAAAGGAAAGATTACGTGTTTTAGGTGGGTGCATGATGTTTAAGTTGGGGATGGGCACTCGTAAATGCTTCGACTTCAGGGCGGTCAGTCCTGTCAGCCAGCTAAGGACCGCTGCATGGGTCCCGAGTGAGGTCCCGGCCGCCCAGGCGCGCGGCGTGTGCCGGACCCATGGGGCGGTATGGTCCAGATCGTGGGCACATGAGGGTCCCCAAATGCGGGGACCAAAACAAGGCACAGCTGAGCCGCTCTAAAAACCTGCCTTTACATCTTAAGTAAGGACCTTGTCATATCGAATTCCGCGTAAGCAAAACCCTGGGTTGCGTAAGATTGCGTAAGCATTTCGCGTAAGCATTTCGGAAGTTTGCTTTGCGTAAGCAAAAGTGAGGGCCGCGTAAGCAGCGCGTAAGGCCTCGCGCAAGGAAAGTGATACGACATAGGGAGTGACTCCAGGTTTTTAGAGTGGCTCAGCTGGCTTTGCTTCATTGAAGGCCATGGAGGCTTTGCAAGTTTTGGACCAAGAGGATTAGATTAGGTTCGAGGACCAAGTTTCAGGGACAGAGCCAAGTTGGATGCATGGGACTTCAACCCACCTGCAAAAGCCTGCAAAGGCAACTCGAGTGATGATGGATGGCCCAGGGTGGTCCAAACGTCTAAACAAACAGCTCACCCTTTGATGCAATGTGGGAATAATGAAACATTGGCGCACTTCCTCCATCTAAGAACCACAAATCCCACCAAAAGATCCCAAAGATGTCCGAGGGGGAGTGCTGATAAACATTGAGAAACCATGTGGATGTGAAGCAGTGGCCACTGAGTGAAAATGTGTTTTTGAAGAGGCATCGTCGGCATGGTGGAGATATACCGAAACCTGTTTCATGCGAAGACCACTTTGACGCAAACATGTTCGAAGAGGCCCGGCGGTCCCATCCCTGAGGCACGACCCGTGGACCGGCGCTCGTCAACGAAGGTCAAGGCGCCGAAGCGCGGAACGGAGGAGAGACCCCATTGGATTGATTCAATCAACTCACGAATGCGATATCAGATCGCCATCATGTTTGCCAGAAAAAACCATGGATTTGTTTTCCCCGTTGCATTTGGCAGGTTATTCCGTTGTTGTCATGATGATTTCCGGTCTTGGCTTCGGATTCGAAACAGCGTTTTCACTTCTGCAGGACAAGACGCCCAGCCCGCGGCCGCGTGCCAAAAGCCAGGTGCCGCTGGTGCCACCGCGGCTGAAAGCCACTGTGGAGGTGAAGCCCAGGCTTGGCTTGGGAAGGGACATTGCTTGTGGGAAATGGAGGTCGGGCAGCTTATATAACTTGGTTTTGGAAGTCCGAGCATCCATGTGTCGCACCATGGTTTCCCCGACTGCATGCCACTGTCCGTGTGTAGGCGGTTATAGGGTACATGTTGTTTCTTTGCTTGGTTGCTTGAACTTGGTTGGTTGGTTGGTTGGTTGTTCTCTTTTGGCCGCCGTCATTGTTGTCGTCGTCGTCGTCGTCGCTGTCGTTCTTGTTGCTTGTTGGCTAATCGTTATTGTTTGTTGTTCCTCTTGTTGTTGTTTTGGTGGGGGTCCGGCACATATGAGCTGACTTGGTCGGGTTTCCAAAGGGCTGCAGCTTAAGCGTTGTGGAACGATGTGCACAGGAAGCGTGCTGTACCGAAGGCAAGCTCCAGGAGGACCCGGACGGGACGAACTCAGCTCTCGGGAGAGGTCGTTGTTCCGGGAAAACTGCTCCAAGAGGATCCGAATGCCTAGGGAGGTGAGGTGAATATATAGTTTTTGTTGGTGTTTTTTAAAATAGTGAGGTGAGGTGATGGAAATCCCGAACCTCCAAACTTCTCAGTCGCAAACCGAAATCAAGTCCAGGACCGAGCCCATCGCCGTGGAGCCCACCGTCCCGGCGCCGCCCGTGGCCGCGCCGGTGGCCGCGCCGGCCGCGCCGGCCGAGGGCCTCCGCGCGCGACCGGGCTCCGGTCGCCGGTCCTCGCGGAACTTGTTGGCGGAGCCACTGGGCCCGGTACTGGCGGTCGATGGAACGGATGGAACGGATGGCATGGTGGATGGTTTGGAGGGGATGATTGGCAGGATGAGGATGAGCATTTGAGCCACTGTAGTTCCTGGTAGGGTTAGTGAAAGGGAGTGTCGGATGGTTTGGCCAGTGCACCCATCCAAGAGGCAAGGTCTCACTGCCTCACCTGTGGTGTTGGGTCTTGCCGTCGCAGTGGCCAGAGGATGGCAGAGGGTTGGCAGAGGATCAGCCGCTGACAGGAGTCCACAGAGGAAACCTAAGTCTTCAGATTTCCCATCAAAACATCTCAGCTTTCGAGGTGCGTACCTTTTCCTGGGCCTTGGATACACCAAAGGGAGTACCAAAAGGTACTTGGCAATATTGATGTTATCGGGCCATCCGGCAGTCGATGAGGCCTAATGGTGGGTCCTGTGCTGGATTTTTTTGGCTGGAAGACGAAAGCAGCAGTGATATATACCCATGGGTTTGTCTCCGTGTTGCTTTGACCGGAAAAATGGCGTCCCCGCGGGTCCCGCGGTGCTTTTCATTTTGCCAACGACCTCTTTCAATTGTGGCACTACCCTGCCTATGCAGTACAAGCGCGGGGTAAGCCTGGCAAGCAAAGGCCCACCTCCTGGGAACTATATTGCACAGTATATGTGCTAGATCGTGTGCAAGGAGGACATTTCTGTATGTAACTTAACACTCACTTCCAATACTGAATCTCAAAGCTACTTGAACTGGAGCCACTCATGTGATCTCGAACCCAGGTTGTACCGTCCCAGCGACAGCCCGCAGCGCCCGCCGCTCCACGCACGGGCCCGCAGCGAGACCCGCGTAGCGGCGCCGATCATCGATCCGGCGCCGGGCGCAGGCGCAGCGCGCGGGCCGCAGGCCATGCGCCTCGACCCGATATTGGTCCAGCACTGCTAGTGGAGCAAGGAACTACTCCAAATAGCAGGACGTGATCATGATGACTCAGCTGATTTGCCAGAAAGCAGCCATGCCTACTCGAACTTTTTGGTGAAAAGCTGCTGGTGAGATCCTGTCATATAGGTGTTATCCTTCGGCCGAAGGAAAAAAGCAGCTGAACAATCTGGTCTCGAGTCATTTGCAATTTTCATGTTGCTTCATCTGGCGTGGGTCGAGATTCTGAAGTTAGGGCAACGTGGCCCTAGCCCCCTTTCCGCCAGTGAACCTGTCCACTACAGTACTACAGTACCTGTCCTTTGGAGCACTGATATCAGAGACTTGGGATGACCTTGGGGTCTCATGAAACTTCCATAACCACCGCTGATATATACTGATAGACATCTAGATAGATAGATAGATAGACAGATACAGTAATGACATGGCCCATCATGGCCCCACGGTCCACATGCTTGCGGCTTGGCTTCGCTTTCTAAGGTGGGAGCCCATGACCCGGCAGGGTCGGCTGAGCTTCGCACCACCCGAACGCGCGTCACGGGAGCTGAATGAGGTCGCCCGCACCAGCTTCACCAAGGCTGGAGAGGGGCGGAGAGCGGCGGACAGTGCAGCCCGAATTCCGAGAAAAGCCTGGGGGCAATTCGGGGTCAACAAAAAGAGCTCCCCCCAAAATAACAATATATATAATTAGGACGCTCGGAGTTTCGATGTTTGCAAGGGACAGGGTCAAAGCTGTGGTCCTTCATTCTGACGCATACATACCATTGGCACATTGATTTGCTCGCGAAAGGGTTAAGGGGTCTGATTCTCATCCTTTGCCCCTGCCCGGTGCCTTCCAAGACCTGCAGGTGTTACCTCCCTGCCCAAAACCTGGTGTCCTCGGTCCCGGATCGTCGTAGGATCGGGAAAGCTCCCGCGAGATCTTCTATGGCAGTCCTGAGAAGCCAGGCACGACGGATCCATGGACCGGTGAACACGGGTTCAGCGAAAAAACCGTTGATCCGAGCAGTTTAGAGTTTCGGAATGCCTCTCAGATCCTTAAATTTTAAAAAGGAAGCTAGTAACAAAAGGCTACTATATAGTAGCTAGAAGCTACTGCTGCTAGTAGCTATTTGCTACTATACTTTCTGACATTTGAAGCTGCAAGGCTTGTGATCATGCAATAAGGAGACCGCTCGATTCGACTCAAGCAAGCTGAGATGTTCAGGATTAGACGGATTACGGTATATATAATAAAGCCATTCTCATTTTGAACAGGCCAGGTAAGGCTTGTGATCATGTTTCTGAGATGCAGTGATTGCACTGGAGTTAAATAATGTTAAATATTGAGATTGCATTTTGTGCGTCCTTCTTCAGCCCCTTGAACGACCCCGTGTTCGACCCCTTGTTCAACCCCATTTGTAGAGCCCTGTGTGCCTGTGTGCTTATACCCATTCACCTGCGCGGTGTTTTGTTTTGGGTGCATCATGAAAAATGAAGGGCCAGATCGCCCTTCATGACAAGCGCATGTGTCCTGCAGTGTGCGTTCCTACCTACGAATGCTCGGCGGTGTAGGCTCTTTCAGTCCCGCCAAATGCGCGGGACTGATCGACGCATCAAGATCTGAGTGACCTCTATTTTGGACCACCCAGCACCCAAAGAAGGCGTTTGTTTCTGATCACAACAAAGGTCATGTGCATATTGGTGCCAAGCCATGCCACCAACTGCAGCAAATGCATACCGCTCGTATTTCTTTTTGGGGTGCCAGGTGCATGGTGCCAGGTGCGCCTAACGGTTGGTGGTTTAGTGATGTTTGGAGTGATGCTTAGTGCGTGTTCCCAAGAAACCATGAAAGGCCCAAGGGCCACCTCCCTTGCCCGGTCCGTGGTACACGTTGCCAGGTGACATTTGTCTTAATTGTGGACGTACCTTGACGGAGGTGGGGCCTTGGCGCGTTGGGGTTGTCGCATCACGCGGGGGTTCCTGGGGTTGTTTGGCATACTTTGGCACTATGATATACTGTATAGCTGTTGGATGCTGAGCTGCGATGCTCGCAATCAAATTCTCGTTTCTAGCACACACCTTGGGTCCCAAAGGCTTTGGTTGCTGGCGAGGATGCCCGAGCTCATTCCTGAAAGTGGACACTAAGCAGAGGATAGCACTTACGGTCACTTGGGGCAGAGCTCAAGTTGCAGCAAGGCACCGAACACGGCACTCAGAGAGGATCTCCCATCATTTTATGGAACTAAAATAAGGAAAACATAGGAAAACAAAAAAACTGGGAGATACTCACGAGCCTTGTTTATTCCAACCCGAATGCTTCGTTTGAGACGGCCCGTGGCGACCAGGACTCGATTTTTTGCCGTCATTGCGGCGCCAAGCGCCCAGATCGCCCAGTGAAGGCACCATGGTGGCGCGGGGATCCAATGTTCACCTACCGAGCGGATGGGACAGTGAGGGAGTTGATGTGCTGAATTAAGTAATAAGTATTAAGGACATGTTACACTCACTTAGAGTTGCGAAACATGCCTTGGCAAGTTAAATTGCTTCATCTAGACTTAGAGTTGCGAAACATGCCTTGGCAAGTTAAATTGCTTCATCTAGACATATGTAGACTTTTTGACAATAAAACCCCGATAGGGGAAGCTTTATTCATCAAGATTCTACATATTGCCACACTACTCAACCAAGACGTACTCTATATAGTGGTCATTGGGGTGTGATGGGTCCGTAGGGTATCCAGGTTTGCTGGTACGTTCCATCCTGCGAGTTGGGTTGAATTGCGTCCTATTTGCGGTATATCTTCTAGATATCTTCTAGATAATAGATATGATTATAGTGTATATAATTAATTCAATATGTTCCACGTGCATCCACGTGCTGTTGTTGAACAATTTGAAATCGCTGGGCAAGAATCTTTTGATGATCCAAAGAGATTGGTACACCCTGGAAAATTAACATGGAACCTGAACACCACTGGGTTGTAGAGTAAAATTCCCAAGTTCCATTGTCAGATTCCATTGTCAGATCTTCCCAGGTGAAAAACGGCATCAGGTCCACTGACAAACGACCAGTTTTTTCAGAGCATTGCCAATGGAAGCAATGAAGTTGGATTCAGAAGCTTTGAAGAAGCTTCTCAGAAAACACATGAGACTTCCATCATGCCCCAAGCTGCCCTCGCTCCTGGCACGATGATTTTCATCAGACCCTTTGAACTCATCCAGCGGTTGGCAGGAGGTGCTGCCCCCTGCAGCTGTAGTTGAGCCGCGGGCGCCGCCTTTAGGTGCTCAGGAGCCCTTGAACTTGGATGCTTGGTTCACGCATTACCTCGTTACAGCCTTGAAACTCACGAGGTTGGTGGACCCACGAATTCTTAAAATCATGAACAATCCGAGGCTGTTTGTCAAACTGTTGGGGAAAATTATTATACTAAGTTCCGGGGAAAATTTCAACTCAATGTGAACGTTCTTCAGGTCCAACTCCACCCCAAGACTGTTGAAGGATCATTTCTCGACACAATTCTTCCAGACTTGACTCTTCCCCATCTTACCGACCTCGTTCAGGCGCCGCCCATCATAACGCTTCCTCCCCGCTGAGGATAGTGCTACGCGGCAGCTGGAACAGTTGGTGCAGGAGAGGGACTTTTCACAGCCCAGAGATCATGGAGGTCTTTCGAAATGGTATATAATATACCAGCAGTCACGTTCGACGGGGTGCTATCCATGGAGGTTGGGGGTGCCCTTGTCACATCGACTCACTGGATGGGACTCAAAACCATCCCGTCACGGTTCCTCCCCTCCGTTTGAGCGCTCCGCTCGGCCGTGCTTTTTTGAAGCGGGTCGCCCACCCCCAGCAGCTCCAGGCTTTGGCCCATCTGAAGCTTGTAGGAAGAACCATCCCTTCACCGGTGCCAGGAGACCCATCAAGCTCTCCTACGAGATGGCATCATTCATGGGGAGACCACTGGACCCGCCCCCACTGCCACGCGTCAAGAGCTGGAAGCTGCCCAGGGGAGCTGGTTTCCCCGTGTTCTGCAAAAGAAGGGGGATCCGGGGATCCGTATGTCTTGCTTTGTTCAGAGATCCCATCCCAAGTTCCCGAGTTTAACACCCAAATCATCCCGAGTTTTTGGTACATTTGGAAGTACATTTGGATATAGGTGAGAGAAGGCAAATAAATATGCATGCATGCATGCTGCATGAATTAATATATATATATATATACCAGCTGCTTCCAAGGGGTTACCTGGCTGGACAACCCTACACTGCTTATAGGTCACTGCTTATGGGTTACCATTGGAAGTGCCAGGTATATATATATATATATTCCGTGATGTTTCCCGGTCATATTCCCTTCCTCCAGAAGTCGAGTCCCCATCGCCGATGTCCTCGTCCCAGAGGCTTCGGCCGAGTTGGGTTGCTTGGTCGAGTTCGGGTCCCGACGGGGTGGTCGCACCGAGCGGGTGTAAGCTGAGGCCGGCACCCCATCCTTGGATGCGGTGGACAAAGCCTTGGAAGAGCTGCAGAGGGGCCTCCTGGAGATTTGGATCTGCATTGGAAGCGATAAAAACCACGCATTTTTTGGGGGGGGTCGAGGTGAACAAATCGCAGAATCACATGCAAGACAAGTGTCTTTGTTGTCGAGGGCAATTGTTTTTAGTACGGGGGGGGTTGCCAGCTTTGGTGAGAGTTGTTTCAGCTAGAGACCAGACGTCCCTTTCTTCTAGTCCTTGGGGGAAGCATTGTGGCAAAAAGGAGAAGGCATGACATGATGTCTACACTCTACAATACCCCCCAACACACACACACAAAAAAGAAGAAACATCGACGGACGAGAAGAACAAGACAAGGACATCGCAAGCACGATGCCTACCCTACTTTACAGTCAGGTCAGGCCAACAAATATCACATACGCACAGTCGGTTCTTTTGATTTGATGCCCATGCTTCTTTACGTTGTCCCGAATCTTTTCTATTTAATCGAGAGTACGCTTCACTGAAAAGCATAATATGTTCACCCTTCCACGTGTTATGTGTGCAGGCTGGTTGCTCGAAATGGTGAGCTCTAATGTTCTTGAGAGTTGCGCTTGGGCGGATTATTTTGTCAGACCCAAAGAGACTGGTGGGCTTGTTGCTTCACCAAACTCCCATGGGTCAGAAACGACCAAACTCAGCGTCATTGAGAGGATGTCCTGAGCAGACCATGCTCAGATGTAGCGCCAAAGAATGCCCTCTAGATGTCTCACACATTCCACGACGTCTACAACAGGATGGCTGGATTTTTGGGAAGATGGTCGCATAATGGTCGCATAATTCCATTCTTCTCACGCGAAAAAGGTCCCCGTGACTCCGTCCGAGATGTGACCAGTCGTGCCTGTCAGGAGATCGACCACGTCCTGGCCAAGCCCATCCCAGAGGCACCGGCCTAACGCATGGGAGCATGGTCCAGCACTGGAAGAGATGTGCCGCACATGTGCTGCTGTGGAGCTGGGCGGACGGAGCTGGGCAGAGCTTTCTCAAAAGCCCGAAGAGAAAAGGACGCTCAGTAAAACCCGTAAGCAAAGGTCTCCAAAGTACCTAAGATGAACTAGATGAACTCTCATGATGAGACATGACACTCAAAGTATCTCAAAAGTATGGCACCAGCAACACTCAAGGCATTTGACAGCTGAGAGAGAGAGAGAGGGAGGGAGGGAGAGACATTTTTGAGAGGGCCGAGCTTCAAAGCGTTTAGATTTTTACCCTGGGCAGCCTGCACCAGCTTCCTTGGCCGTGGCCACGCGTTTTCATCTTTGGCCGAGTTATGTAGGCAGAAGCAGCAGCGTTTCACCAGCGGCAGTCCGGAATCTGAATGTTCGGCAATGTTCATCGACGTTCTTTTGGAGTGGGCTCCTGGTAAGTCACTGTTTGCATAGCTTTCCACTTCTCAGCTTGTCTTGGGGAGCCTTTTTGATCCTCCAAACCCACCCCAAACACGCCCAAACATCTTCTTTGCCTGAGGCAATTGGAGCCCCCAGGGTTAGGGTTCAGTCACTCTTTGAGTGGATTGCCTTTGCTGCCAGAAAATGGGCCCCTGAGCAGAGTGGGCGAGTAGGTTCCGTTGTTTGAGACAGCTCCGCGAGCAGACTGCATGAAGTTTGGGTGACCGCCGCGTGTCCAGGGTAAACACATGGTAAACTGGTAAACACCTAGCTGGACGGACATGAATAATTATCGCATTCCTTGCGTCCGCCAACATGAGGTCCCAAAGTCAGAGGACAAGTGCTGGACTCTACAACATGTGGATGTTCAAATTCTTTCCATTTGGTGTGAGGATCCTGAAACCCAATCCAGCGCCCCCAATCCCGAGACTTCGCAGTGAACCACGAGATGGGCGGTGGACCCGGGTGCCATCCGTGGCCACGTTAATTCACGCGTTTGTGCGGATTCGAACGCGTGTCCGGTTTTGTGTCCAGGATCGACGGTGGACAGACGGTCCAAAGAGTAGTCAGCCTAAAGCCAGGTAAGGATTCCCCTACCCGCACTCACACCATTCAGCCAATCCTTTGCGATCCTGTTGATGTTCTTGGAAACATGTAAGCTGCCCACCCAAAAAGATCCAAAAAGCGGGTTGAAGTAGCTTCTTGCTGGATCTCTCAGAAAGCTAGCACACCTGGATTGGATCAAAATAGAAGGGCATGGGGGACTCGGTTTTGCGTGGGTTTGCGACACCTGGATTGTTCATTTCTGCGACACGCAGACGTGCTAGTAGCATGGTGGCGACACCATTGGTCAAGACCCCGTGCGGATGTGACATGCGTGTATGTGACATGACCTGAGCATCAAAGATCCTGGGTGCTGTAAACTACTTGGAATGCTGGAACTTGCCTGCTGGAGCTTGCTGGAACACAACGCTACAGAGCACCTGGTGAAGTCTTGGACATTTGCACCAGCAACCAACACGTTTGGAGGGTTGTGAGTCCATGTAAGTCCTGTCAAGTCAATTCTTCCTTCTACCTTCTATATACATGTTTTTCTCCAGGACTTGGCAAGGACAGCAGTGCCTCGCCTAACTTGAAACCCGACATTGTGTGCCACAAGATCCCTGAGGCTGTAACAATGTCGTATTCCAAAAGGATGTTCGAGCGACATATCCCACACAGTCGGCCACATCATGTCGCACCCAGTCGGCATCATCCAAGAACATGTAGGCTACCTGTACACGTTGGCCTCCACCCTAGTAGCGTTCAGCTCCGAAGTTCTTGGAGTTCCGCACTCCGTCGCACCTCTCCGGAGTGCCACTCTCAAGCCGACGCCGCTTCAGCCGCGGCGGACGGCCGCGTCGTCGGACTCGTCTTGACGCCGAGATGACGGGGCAGAGATGAAAAGGGCGACCATGACCGCTGGGGTCACCAAGAGGTCTAAGACCGCGGGGCACTGGTCACCGCTGGTTGCGAGAGGACCAGGGGGTGACCAGAGTTCAGCACCAGATGTTGATGCTTGAGCTGAGTTGCAGAGCGACGGCACATGGTATACTCAGAACATAAAGTGAGCAGTTCCTACTGTTTTAGCAAGTGTATTTGTCACATGGGTTGACTGTGCCTACTAGTAAAGATACACTTGTAATGCGAACTGCGGCATCATCCACATGAATTATTTTCCAGTGTTTGGAGGCGGGAAGGCTGGAGGTTGGGTTGCTTGTTGGGGTGAGCAACAAACAGGCTGGCGTTGTTCGCTGGCTGATTCGCGCGCTTGGGAATGAACGAAGGAGCAGACTTGTTGAAGTGCCAGAGACGAACCCCCCTTGTTCTTGGAGGTGGTACTAGTGTTAGAGATTGCTTGATTGCTAGCAATGGACAATGATCTCATGAGGCTCCACTTGTGTCACCAACGTTCTTGACTGGGAAACCGCCGCTACCGCCCTTTGCTCCCAAGCTTATTGACATAAACCAGCAGAGTTCTCCAAGAAAGCCTTTAAACTTTAGAATTCATTGCCTCAACTGCTTTCAGAAGAAACACTTACCTCAACAACCCCCCCATCGCAAACTGCCAAATCAAAAAAAACAGTGGTGTGTTAATGTTTTTTGTTTGAATGTAGTGGTGGACGAGATCCACATCGGCCAAATGGTTGGGTGTGTGCTCATTCCTTTGGCCATGATGAACTTTTTTCCACCGCGTGACCATCAACCTCCACGTGTGAGCTAGCAGGGTAGTTGCAAAATTCCTAGTAACATGATAGTGGCTTTGGAGGCTCGGATCAACATGAGCACCAACTTCACCAACTTCACGAACGAAGCCACTTGACTGCCATGCGGTATTATGTGAAGCCACTTGGTCCCACACTTGCAGGATTTGTTTTCTTCGATGGCTGCCATGCCATGGAGCAGTGGGCCACCGGTGTGCAGGTACGGGGATGACTGGCGGACTGGAGATGGAACACTTGACAAGGTGGAAGACCAAGGAGGGAAATTCCGAGACATCCTGAACCCATTGAATTAGTATTGTAGTAGACTAAACAAGAAACAGTGTTTCCACACCATCTACCAAGCAAAACTCTTTTTGCTAGGTGTAGCACGTTTGCTGTTGCCGGTCTACGGGACGTTTCTGGTCTAGGGCGACCAGCCCCGGAACATCACCCTCACGCAAACATATTATAAGGATGGTTCAAACCCGACCAGTCCACCACGTAGCGAACATCCATTAAGGTCACCGGTCGGTCCGAGTCTCGGCGCCCGGGCGGTGCGGAGGTCTTCCTGGTGCCCTTGGCCTCGGCCACCGCGAGCCGCCGCGCCGTGTGGGCCCAGCGGCTCCGCAGCGCGGGCGGCGCCACGGCGGACGGGGACGGCGTGACACACGTGGCGCTGGCGCCGGAGTTGAGCCGCGGGAGGTGGATTGGCTCGCGGGGGTGGGAGGTGAAGGAAGAGGCTTTGATTCCACCCACAAAAGAGGACGGGGTGAAAGGCAGCCCCCGGGTGATACTGCCACTTCTTGAACTGCAGCTCCAGAAAAGAAGTGGCAGTTCAAGAAAGATATAGTCGTGGAACAGGACATGTCATGCCTTCTGCTGGACATTGATTCCTTTTGATCCTGAAGCAGATTTTGGTAGCATGGTCGGAGACCCTCCCCTCAGGATTCAAGAAAGCTATATGATATGCTACTAGTAGCGACAGGTTTGTAGACGGAGTGTCCATCAGATGAGTTTTGAATTGTCCAGTCCTCCCAGGATCCTTTGCATGCCTTTGTCCTGACAACATCCTTCCACTGGCTTTCATGACCAAAACAGTCGCCCGTCGCATCCCGTCGCCTTGGCTCAACACTTCTTGATGCCTCGCTTTGCGAGGCTTGAGGCTTGGAAGGACCTGTCCAGCTTGAAGGAGGTTCGGGGCTCCACGGATTGCCATGCAGGAGAAATCACATGGACGTTGGTGGTTTCGGAAACTCCCTTGTACAGGGCCCCATGAGTGGGGCCTCCTGGAACATCTTGGAACCATGGATGTATGTCGCAGACGTTGCCCACTTTTGGTTGTGTCAGAGACGGGGATTCTCAGGGCGTGGCAAGGAGCGGGATAAGAGGATATAGAAGTAGAACAGCTGTTTCTTCAAAACAATTTCTTTTGAATATACATATCAACAAGCAGAATTTGTCGATTCATTGATGACACACTTTCCCGGACTCCCGGACTCTCACAACAGTCGAGGGACCGTCCTTCAATTTGACCACAAGTGGCAACTCATGTTCTCGATAGTCTTGGTGCTTGCTTTCCCTCACTTTTTGTGCTCCAAGTGTCATCGGGCACATGAGTCCCAAGTCATCATTAGAGGCCACAAGTCCTTCGTCAGAACTGAACACGTTCTTTTCTTTCCTAAAGGGCAACCTTGCAGGGGCAAGGTCCTATATTCTACTTCCTTCGGGGTCATCCAAATCCAACCTCTTTGAGCAGCTATCGCGCAGGCCTTTTGGGTCTCAACGGACTGGTTGATCTCCTGCCTCTCCCAGCAGCGGCGCGTACCAGAGGCGTTGGGGCACCCAACAGTCCAGTTGACTATCCGATCCGAGTGAGGCTTTGGCAGAGGCCGAGCTTCCACCATAAGTTACCGGTACTTGTTGACTACACCCTGGAAGACTAACATGGAACCTGAGAAGAAGAAAAATGGTTGGTATTCGAAACTTCGTCTTCCAACGGACCAGGACGTCAGTTGACTAGTCAGTTGACGTTTGTCATTGGACATTGGACCGTTCCATGTCAGTAATCGTGCCCTGCCCCTTTAGCATAGTCTTTAGCATACTTGACAAATCGTTCAATACACGATTCAAGTGCCTACACAGCATCACGAAACAAGACCTCTGAAGACAAGAACACCTATGCTCGCATGCTTTCTGCGAAATCCCTGTCCTTTGGAGAGGCTCAGTTCCCATGGCCACCGGATCCAGCGCCCAAGTCAGCATCCCCTTCACCGAGAAAGGTGCCAGCACTGGAGGCCTGCACAAGCATGTTGCTGGTGTTTTAACCTGTTTTAACATTCGCCGACAAGAATCGGACGATGATTTTGATAGTGTGATACCCTCCCTCCAACGTAGCAAGTGGAACGTATTATGGCCCCTGGCAGGGAATACCTAATAGGGGGATTCAGGGTGCCATCCGGTTCCATGTTTCAGCAAGGGTCTCAAATTGATATCAACCGCCAGCTCTGTGTTCGTACTGATGTTCTTGGAAGAAGACCATGTATATACTTCGGATGTGACAGTGACAGATGTGACAATTCGCCTGTTCCGGATTCTCCGAGAAAAAAAACACGTGGCGTTGTCGTTCGTTTTCCCGAATATGAACCACCCCACCCATTCCACTGAGCACCCCCAAGTAAACAGATTACTCCGCGGAGCCGATCACCAATGGGATATGGAGCGCCAAGGGCGCTGCCCCTGCACAACCCCCTGCCAATCCATGTCTCAACACTGCAGTCACACTTCAGTGAATATATGAAGATCATGTCGGCAGGGTTTGGGAGACGGTACACTTGTTGCCACTTACCTCTAAGGCACACAGTTGTAAAATGGTGAAACATGCTTTGATACTGTTCTCTCTCACCGATGCCGTCGCCATCACCTTAGGCGAGCCCACTACCCTCCAAGCGGAAAGTGGAGGATCCATCGGAGAGTGAGGCGCAGGCCGGTGGCGGTGGCCGAAGGCTGCGCAGCCAGCATGGCTCAACAAAAACACAACCCATGTACAGAATCAGAAGGTTGAGAATGGATGGCACAACCATGCGCAACCCCTAAAGAGGGATTGCAGGTGGCATGCAGGTCCTTACGTTCCTTACGTAGAATAGCTTGAATATTGAATAGCTTATGGGTCCGTGCCGTGTTTGCAGATTACCAATACGTAACATAAAATTTGCCACTTGTTGGTTGTGTGAAATGATTTTGTGCCCTTTGCCCTTTCCTGTTGATGGGAACGCTTTTAGAAGGGGAGTCCACGCATTCATTCTTGATGTTCTTGATCCTTTTTGGGTTTGTCCAATGCAATGCGCATTGGTGCCAGCTTTTGCGATCTAATTTTGCTTTGGCACACCGTTCTTATCCGTTCTTATACTCAGCTATATACTTGTCTTTACTATACATACATAAGGTGATAGTTTCATTCTTGGACCACCAGTTTGTGTAGTCCTGGTTTTGCTTACCCCATGATGCTTTATGTTCATGCAATCCTGTGCCCGTGCTCGCTTCATCGGCTGTACCGTCGTGCGATGCAAACGTGGATGCCAAAAACCCAGGACCTGTAAAGTACCTGCATCAAAGGAGCGTCGTGTAGACAAGGGAAAAGACTGTTGACCATTTCAATCCCCCATAAAAGGTTGTGCAATCCGAATCTATGTTAAAGCACTCCCCGAAACTTCTGAAACAATCATGAAAGTTTCGTTTGGGGATTGCAGACACGCATGTTGCCGCATGTCAGTTCGCTGCGTCGAAGAGGTGAGCCCAGTGAGCCCTCCCTCTTCGAAGCGAACGCGGCGTTCCGAGCTGTCCGAGAGCGAGGTGGTGTCCAAAGCGCCGTTCGGTGCGGGAAAAGGGAGGACCTATTTGTCCAGCTACTAACAAGGGCATTTCTACTAGTAACTAGTATAGCATCTAGTAGCTAGAAGCTAGTAGTAACAAGGTGCATCGCTACTAGTATGTAGCATTCGCAATTGGGGGGAGTAGCCAACAGTCAGTATTGGTCATTTAACCTTAACAGATGAGGCAGCCAGTTAGAGCCTCCTGTCTGGACATTTAGAGTCGACTACATATGGCAAAAAACATATGTATATACGATATATATATATATATAGAGAGAGAGAGAGACAGAGAGAGAGAGAGAGAGACAGAGAAATAGAGAATCATGCTTTGGTACCTTCCCTGGCAAGAAACAACAGATCCACAGCTTGATTTAGGCATCAGACAACCCTTCTCAAGTCAGAGGGTTAGGGCGGGAAAATTGCAGGGTGAAATAACCAACTTGATCGATGTATACAAAGTTGTTTAGCATACTGCTCCGGAATGATTCAGACATGCACAGCTTGCCGGAGCTTCACTGATAAAGACTAACATCCTGGTCAACTATTTTGAGTCGGTCAAGCCCGGACTTTTTTTGCATTCCATGATCCTGGATTTTGTGAGCCACGAACTCTTGACCAAGATCGCCGCCACAGCCACCCTCCCTGGATATCAATCAGAGGTGGAAAAACGACGACTTAGGAGGGCTGTGCTTTCCAAACTACTGTACTCAATGAACAGGTCCTCAAGTCAACAAATTCAGCGCTTCTTTCAGTTTGTATATAAACAAACACCCGATTAAGTGAAGGCTTGGCAAATGACAAGCGCTGTAGGGTTTGCAACCTGCAAGGAATCGAATCAAAACTCAGAGCAAGAATTTCGACCTGGCGGGGAAGCTGTAATGTCATCGCTATGAGGTTGGATGCCATCGCTACTAGGTTGGTGTTTTCTTTTGTAAAGGCTAGAAGACTGACCGTGCAGGTCGAAGAGCTCCGCCCTCGAATGGCAGCCTTCAATGGGCAGCTGACGCCTCAGAGAAAGCAACTCCTCGGGAGACGGGAGAAGTTCGCGTGTCAGTTCCTTGGCTGATTGCCCTTTTCAGCATTAAGCAGAGAAAGCATGATGTTCACTCAGAAAAGGCCTATGTTTGCTGTGATAAGCTAAGGAAAGATGGTCACAGACCTCAAATAGCATTTCAGAGCTTCTTGTATTGGGTGTGCGAGTCATTCTCCGCTTTTTACAACTCGAGGCGTGCCCCCCTGCTAGACCCAGCCACACCCTCAGCGGCCTCTGGTCAGCGCAACGGCGCACTGGTGGCACTCTTCGGCCAACTGCAGTGCCTTGGAGGGCTGGAGGCGGACATGGTTTGCTGATTAAAACAATCGTAAAGATCTCGAAACTTAAACCGTTTGCGATGTTGGATACGTTGAAGTCACCACTAACTATATTGAATAATATGTATATGCAATATACTTTGCACTAGTGAGTTGGGACTTGTGAAATGACTGGTTGCGACGGATATGTTGAAGTCACCACTAGCTATATTGAAATTTAATGAAATTTATGTATGAATATGTTTGATGTGTCCACCAGAACGTCCAGGACAGGGAGGCGGTTTCCGCATATCCGCTATGTTGGTTGTATCAGCTGTCCATTTGAACACAAGTACGTTTGAGATGATCTGCATGGCTTTGAGAACAACAGCAACCCTTGGATTGGATCTTTCCACTTCCCAGGAAGCACTATGAAGCCTTGGGTGACTCCTGGCGCGAGCGTTCGTATCGAACCACTGCCAGCCGCATGGCACTGCATGGGCAGACGTTCTACCGTCGTCATGCCCACGATTGCAAGGTCTCTCCATGAAATATCATTGCGTAATAGTAATACAATTACGTTTATATATATCCATCATGCATTTATTACATTTATTGCATCATATGTTTTTGATTAATTGGGTCTATGTAGATATCTCCATGAATACATTAATTACGTTTGTAACATTCAAAAACATGTCATCGGCTCATCCCATGTAACCCGGACACTACGGTGTGTGGCCCGGTAACTGCGAGTGCTCGTGGGACTCAGAACTTGGTGTCAACAGTAGTAGTGTCCGTAAACCCGTCCTTGAGACATATCCATTGTTTGAGGGCACCAGGTCGGACAAATACTGTACTGAAATTTTTGAGGGCCTCGATCACCTGACCCCTGACCCCTCAAAAAGGGCCCAACCGGTGTCCGCTGCTCAAAGGGTGAAGCTCACATTCGGTGCCCAGCGGCGCTAAGCCCAAAGAGTTGTGCAGGACTTCTCCCGTCGATCAACCTGGTCCTGTTTCCGGGAGACTCCTCTCGAGGTCTTCTTCGGAGTCTACCTTTCGAAGTGGCTTCCGTGGCCGACCTCCAGCAACCACAACTGAGACGTTTGGGCAAGAAGACGCGCGAGAAGCTCGTGGAGTTCCTGGAAACAGGCGACCACCGGCGGTTAACAGCTCGGGCGGTTAATGAGATGAGGGTCGCTTGAGAGGCCGGACCCAATCAACGACCAAAGCCACAGGGCCAGGGCCAAACTGGGCCGACCCCTGAAACAAATCCTATTCTAGACAAGTATTATCTGGTATTTTTTGCTATTGATATGTTGCGATGTTTTCCTTTTGGGTAGTAAGGCGGATGTAGCTGAAACTACCGCATGGGGGGGTCAAGTGCCGGACACGGACTCAAGATCCCGCAGTCTTGTTGGGGAAGGCTGGTTGTTAGTTCCCTATGTGTTCATCGCTCCGCTAGTTTAGCGCCAGTTGAGAGTTGAGACAAAGGAAATCAAACAAAAGAATAACTCACGGTCCAAACCTTTGTTTTTGGCTTGACCTGTTTGGGGGAGTATACCTCTACATCTAAATATATAATACCGTGTAGTTGCTCTCGAAAACGAATGGATAGAAACCGCACCTGTTCATACGTCCTGGTTCGACACAAAACGGCTGTTTAGGTGATGGGACTTTGTTTTCTTAGCTGCGCCCAGCCGATGTTGGGGTCACGCACGCCGTGAAGAACACGGGAGTCATCGGGAGTCTAGTGTAAACCACCTTCCTGTGATGTATAGGCTAGGGGAACTTGGAAGTCAAGTGGAATCATTCTCATTTTTCCCGGTCTCGTGGAGCCTGTGGAGCCCTTCAGCTTCTCCTTGGTTTCCAGCTTGGTTCGATTTCGATTCTCCTGGTGGCCAGACCACAGCCGTCGGGCGATCCTTCCCTCCTGCTCTCAGGGACCATCGGCCGAGTGGAGGGTCTTCAAGAGGATGAATCCACAAAGGCGTTGACCCTCAGCAGCCTTGGCCTGTGGAAAGATGGGAAACCTCCAAGAAGTCAAGTTCCTTGGGTGGGCCCCACTTTTCTTCAATTCCTTTTGGTTTTGCACGGGTCAATGATACAATGGCAGATTTATTGACCTCTCAGCTATCGCACTCCTTATGGTGCACGTTCGAGCCAACTAAGGGCCTGGCCACAAATTAAGTCGCATTTTTGGTTTGAATGCCAAAATCTCGCTGAAAAGTCGAGGGCATCAGGGGGGTTGCCATCCCAAGAGTTTTTGGATGTCCTTACGGGGACCTGCCTCAAATGATGTGCACAATTCAGCTGGTGTGACTTGAAGGCTCACTTCAGAACTTCACATTGAACCAGTTATGGTGAATTCAGCTGGTAGGATCTGGTCGGTATGCTCAAATTTAGGCGATTGCCACCATGTTTCAACGAGCTGAATTCACCAATTCTTTGCAGCATGTGGCTTTGAACCATCTCTTCCGTTCCGAAGCAGCTGCAGGTGGAAGAAGAGGGAGCCGGTTGAACCTTTTTGAGATAAGAGCATGTTCTTCTTTCAGTGACGCGGAAGGACGTGATTTTCACGCCACCAAAACGTTGGCCAGCAAAAACGATGACCCCACGGCGTGGGACCGTCAGACATATCGGCCGAAGACATCGGTAGACCGTATCCCCCTTGGAGAAAATTGTTTCGCGATGGCCATGGCGAACATCATGGTGTGGGCTATGTTGCAGCTGGTGCTCTCTGAGGACTCGGAAGAGTTGGGATGTGAACCCTTCCCACCTCGTCTGGGCTCAGGGTTGGCGAGGGGATGTTGAGTATCCCATGGTCCAGACGCTTTGAGCTTGGTCGAATTCATATATGAATGATTATGGGTCGCTGATTGAAACCGGCGCTCTTGGAATGTGGTTTTCCATCATTGATCATGGTCGATCATGACTTGAGTCTTTGAATTGTTCCTTTTTTCTTCACATGCTGGTTCAACGTTGAGCATCGCCGGCTGAAAAACGTTGGACACTTGCAGGACACCTGCAAGGATGGCAGTTGCGAAGACGTTTCAGTTCTTCAAGTCTCAAGTAATCAAGCTTGTACCTGGAGGCTGAGTCTGCTAAGCACCTTGGCTGGGCATGGCTAAGCACCTTGCTCTTGGTTTCTTTTCCAAACCTTTTGGAGTCGGGACACCACGGGGGTGCAGAGGTCACAAGAAGCATCAAGAAGCATCAAGAGTATAAGGATGGAGACAGTAGATCTGCAAGTAGTTTGTTGGCGGCTCAGCACAATCACTACATGTTCGGCCATGTTTACATGGTTGTTGTGAGCACTACGCGACATACTCTAGAATCCTAACATGGCAGTTGACGCAAGTTGAGCGATGTTGAAATATGTTGACCACTTTCAGGCAGTTCATGTGCAGTTGATGTCTCTCTACAGAATCTTCCCGATGCAGGTGAATGGACATGAATGAAAGAAAAACACACATGGAAAGAGATAATACATAAATTCATATACCCTATAGAAGTAAAGGACATGTCTTTTAGGTCACTTAGTCCGACCGGTCTTATTCTTTTTGTAGTCTTTGACTCCCAGGGTATGTAAACCCCCACGGAACCTTGGTCGGTTTCGCGTTGCAGGCGGCAGCTGCGACGGAGCATGTGGAGCCGGCAATCCATGTGATCCAGCACGACAGAGGGCACTCCAAGGTGTCGCCCTGGAGGCGGTGGCCACCGGTTTGGGGCGGAGCTGTGCGAACGCTGGCAATGTGAATGCCGTCGGCAATGACCGGGCTCCATATATCTTGAGCGGCAACAGCGACTGTCGAGCCTCGAATTCACAATCTTCGTCCGCTTGCAACTTGAATGGCGGCAGTTGGCGACGGATTTGCTGCTGCGTCCCAAAGCCAACGACCACCACGGAGGCGCCCGCCACAACGGGAGCCGCCTCATCCACCACGACCACGGAAGAAGGCGGTGGAAACAACGATCCCCACATTCAGTCGCTGAAGGGGGCACACTACACACTCCTGAAAGGCGGCAACTTTCTGGCATGGAGCTTTTCGAAGGGACCGGTGGACTGGCGGCTCTTGGCCAGCTATTCTGGCTCCAGAGCCTTGGCGAAAACTTGCCGAAATTGCAGTGTCGCCTACAGAAGTTTTAAATCTAAGGAGATCCGAAGTAAGACCAGTTTCTTTGCTTTTCCATCCGTTTTTCCAAGGTTCCAGATTCACTCCACAGTCGCTGCTGCTTCTGGACCATTCAGGACAGACCATGGAGTTCACAGCGGAGAAGTGTGAATGGCAGGCTCACTCCGAAGAGGACGAATGGCGCCGCGTGCGGGCAGGGTCACTCCTGTCCACCGATGGCTCCAACTGGGACACTCGAAGAGACTTGGCAGACGTTTTTGGTCGTGAAAACCCCATGAAAGTGTATGAATTGGGTCGTAACAGTCCGTAAAGGGTCCTATCATCATCCACTATTACTGGTTTAATAGGACATACTTAAGATGTGTGTTTTTCCCGTAAAATCAGAGGATTCCTAGTGATTTGGTTTAGATATTTGTTGAGTTGGATCTGTTTTCAGCGACAAGGATGTGCAGGAAGTGGACAAGAGGACTCAGGACCCCCTGAGCATGGAATCTATGATCTTCTTGAACATGGACGAGGCTGGTGGTCCGCGGAAGGTTGCAAGGCTCCTTGTCCACTGCAGCCCCCAGGAGCATTTGAACTTTAAGGTGAGCATGTTCGAGAAGAACGACATGGACCATGTGGGAGGTGAGCTTGGAGCCGTCCCCGATGCCAACAAGTCGTTGCACTTGAGCTTCTTGTCGGCCAAGCTTGGTTCCATGGTCACAAAGAGGGACACGGAGTTTGAGGCAGGTCCGGAAAAATCCAGGCGAATTGATTGGCGATTTGTGTTGGATTGTGTTGGACTCATGCTCCCTCATGTTTCTACATGTTCTTCTTGTTCAAAGATGTTCGCGACGTGTGTGGACGACGTGTTCTTCTTCACCTGCCGATCGATGGATTCAGCCCCAATTGGCGGAGGTTCCAGGCACCTGGCTGATGTTGGGTGGGAGTGAAGCGGCAGCAGCGTATTTGACGTCCAAAACCGTGGACGAGGGCATCGGAGCGTCCTTCCTCAGTACCGGCTGCAGTGATGTCCAGGAACAAGAGGCAGACACCTAGTTTTGCTCAGCATTCATTTCCCTTTTTCTTATATATAGTCTTAGTCGTTCTTTTGATGTATCGTGGTGTGTTTGCGTATGTGCTTTGAACGTAATTCGAAGCAGCACCTGGCCTCGTGATGGAGGCCTCATGTGTGCGGGCCAACGGTTACTCTTTCATACCCTTTCCCTCAACAAATCCAAGGAGAAGATTTGTGCCAAGCACCTCCAAAAGGAGGGCCATCACGCAGAGATCTTCACAGACTGTGTCTTTGATGTTTGCCATGGAGGAGGAGAACAAGATGCCCAGAGTGCGGCCGCATTTATCTCAGCCTAGGTCTCCCCCAGGTCTCGCCAGATGTCCATTTTTCCATTTGAAAAACGCCTGATCGTCTCTTGCAGATGTGAGCTATGGTGAAAATAGGTCAAAACATGTCAACACACATCTATGGTCTAGCAGGCTTCATTTGGTTCGCGATAGAAGGATGATCCAAGCTGGGTTCTAATCTGTTGTTTTTTTGCCATATTCTCATGTCCGGCTTGGACATTGTTTTCGCTTTTCAAGTTCTAAACTAGGCGCCCAAACCGCCTAAAAACCTTGCCTCGGACGACGCGAGTCGAAATGACCCGTGTCCAGCTAGTACCTAGCTGCATCTAGCTGCAGATCCACGCGCTGAGTTGGAACAAAGAGTCAATCATGTGTGCCAATTCTTTTGGCATATGCTGTTTGCATGGAGCCCTGGCTCGATCCTTTGCGTAACGCCACGTGGCTTGGACCAACACCCGTCTTTCCTGCAGCACCGACCGTGCCCAACGCGACCTCGCGACCCGCGCCGAGGAACGAACTGCAGGGGATTTGGGGCGTGGGCTTAACGACTGCCAGGTGCGCGGGAAGACGGAAGACATGAAGACATGACTCGAAGTCTGGTTTATACGCAGTCGACAGCTGACATGAATTCCAAGATCAACTGTGACAGCTGTGAATTCATTAGGATCGTCACCCCAATGTATATAATGTATATCCATTCTCTAGTGTGTCATCAACAGGCTGACAGGCTGGCAACAGAATTGTGCACCCCTGGTTCTTGCAGCCTTCAGCTTGCAAGACTTGGAAAAGCCACGGTGAAGTTCAAGCTAACAAGCACAATGGAACAACCTGCTGAATTACAAGAGCTCCTTTGCGATGGAACTGCGTTTTTTGATCTGAAAAGCTGGGTTAAAGTGATCAATCGCTTGGTTCCTCGACCATCGTCACGCCATGGCATGTCCAACGCAACGCTCACAACGCAGCAAGTGGTGGCACTTGGGAAGGCCAAGCGTTGGGCAGAAGCTTTGGCTCTGTCCCTGCAGCCACCGCATGGCACTCCTCTCAACATCATCACCGTCGGCGCGGCCGCAGCCGCGTGTGCGCGGGCACAGCGATGGGGTGAGGCGACCGACATGCTGGGTGCCTGCCGCAGAGCGCAGCTGGAGGTCAACGTTTTTCTTGGAAGTACGGCCATCAATGCCTGGGCAAAAGAGAAGAAGTGGAGTGAAGCCTTCTATAGTTTGTCGCAGCTCCGGAATCACAAACTGGAAGTGAATTCGTTTTGCTTCAACCCGGCAATCTCATCTTCGGAGTGGACCTTGGGACTATCATGTCTTGCTGAGATGGGATGTCATGCGGTGCCCCACGAGACAGTGTCCTTCAATGCAGCTATCTCAGCTGGAAGCCCATGGGAAGTTTCTGCAATGCTCTTTGAAACATTGAGGCTTACCAATCTGCAGCCGAGCATGGTGACATATGGCGCTGCCATCACTGGATGCAGGTGGCAAGTAGCCTTGGAGCTGCTTGGGCAGCTGCAGGACGGAATCAACCTGGTGATTTTGAATTCTGCTGTGAGCTCGTGTGCTGCAGCCCGCCAGTGGGAAGCAGCAGTGTTCTTGCTGAATTCCGCACAGATACACACAATTCAAGCAGATCTTGTGACATACACATCAGCCATGAGCGCTTGTGCTTGGGAGCTGTCACTGGCTTTGTTCGATCGAATGCTCCTTGTTCGGCAGGCAGATGTGATCTCTTGCAGTACACTGTTAGCAGCTTGCAGCGAACGCTGGGAAGTTGCATGTGCACTTCTGGCATCACTACCACAGCTGCTGTTGAAACCAGATGTCGTTTGCTTCAATGCGGCCCTGAGCGCGTGTGAAGCGTCCGGTGTTTGGGAACATGGCCTGGCCCTCCTGGAACATTTACGCAGCGCTGCTCTTCATGCGAGTTGGGTGACCTACAACACCGTCATTGGCGCATGTGGTGCTGGGCAGGTTTGGCAGAAGTCGTTGCAACTTCTGGAAGAGATGGCGCATTGCAAGGTTGAAGCAGATGCTGGCAGCTTCAATGCCGCATTGAGTGCATTACCTGTGCGTCAGTGGCAAAGGATCCTGAATCTGTTGAACGAAATGAAGCGACGTCAGCTTCCCCAAGATGTGACGTCCTTTACTTCTGCTGTGTTTGCCTGTGGCCGCGCGGGCTCTCACGGCGCTTACTCTGCCGCAGTGGACTTGCTGCAGCAGATGCCACGTGAGGTGCTCCGACCGAATGCTGTGACCTATGCGGAGCTGCTAAGCGGCCTGGAGGCGACGCGACACCGACCGGGAGGTGATGCGGCGCGGCGGAACGCCGCGAGAGAGGCCTCGCACTTCTTCCGCTGCTTGGCAGATGAGGCGATGAGTGACATGGCCGAAAACGAGAATAGCAAGAAAAGGATCAGCAAGAAACTGTGACTTGGCGGCTGGGCCGAACTACCATTTTCCCGACCTGGCAGCTGGGTCCATGTGATCTACCAGATTCTACCTGCGCAACTGCTACGAAGGTGCTTGCTTCCATGAAGCACATGAAGCGGCGGTGCATGAACACAATGGGACAGAGGGTGCTTTGGAGCCTGGTGTTGAGATGTGTTAAGCACATGTTAAGCACCGTGGTGATTCTGGGTGTGTGCCGTTATACTTTGTACAAAACTTCGAAGCCACAGCACTCAGGGTGTTTAGCTCGAGATTCAGTCGTTGGAACGACTGGTTGCCCATGCGCTTGTAGTTGTTGGATTAGCTGCGGGGGCGGACATCCGGCAAGCAAGAAATCGAGCCGTTTTGACATGTTTTGACATTCCCACCCTTTTTGAAATAGTTGGGATTGGGATGCATTGGGGTTTCAGGCCTCAACTAGCTGTCATGGATGGTATGCGCCACAAATCCCATGTCCATTTAGGAGTACTTTGGTCCATCCTTGAGGTGGAATCCACAAGGTCTTGGAAGATCTTAGAGGGTTTGGGGGTCAAGGAGCTCTGTAGATTCGTAGATATTCGGGCCTTGAGTCTTAAGTCAAGGCTGAGGGGATTGCGGGATCTATTTAAAGAGGCATATATGATTGGTTAGAAGTTTATGCCCCGGGGAGTTCACCTTAAAATATTGATTTCGTGGCAGGCGCGGGTGTCGGAGATGAAGTGCAGATTTCGTGGCGCGTGGGGGGGGCACAGCGCCCCCCCCCAGCAGCACACCAGATCCAAAGGGTAGAAAGCAAACAGATGGAAAAGCAAAAACAAAAGAGAAAGGAGAACAGCTGCCTAAGCAGAAAAGCAACAAAAGCAAAGAGCAGAAAGACAAAAACACAAAAAGCAGAAAAGCAGCAGAAGCAGAAAAGCAGCAAAAGCAGAAAAGCAACAAAACAGCAGAAGCAGAAACGCAGCAAAAGCAGAATCCGAAACAACAAAAAATAACACAAAAAACATGAAAAAATACTGAAAAAACCGTCCCTCCTTTAATATCTATAGTTAGTTCTCAACACGGAGGCCACCGGTGATTTGCTCGCGTCTCTCCTTGGGGAGGCGCTGGTATGGCCTGGGCTGCCGCAGTGTGGAAGACGTGCGAGAGCACATGGCGGCTGGTGGGCTGAAGCTGAACTCGGCCGCTTGGGAGGAAAAGAGGTTGTCAATGATTTTTAGGCTACCAGATGGGTTGTATATTCTAGAGGTGTCGGGCAGTCAGTGGAAAGTGGTCGAAGATGTGGACGAACACGATACGGCCGCCACACGTGGTGTTTGCACGTCGATCTTGTGCCATTCAGTAGAGACCAAATGTGCGGGGTCGGGTCCTTCTGGTGCGGTCCTTCAGGTCCTTCTCTTTTCTGGTTAAACTGACACATTAACAAAATCCTCTCTATAAGGAGATGTGAAGCACCATCCAGGGAGAGAGGGGCTGAAAGATATTGAAGTTTGAGACACACTGAAGCCGCGTTCCAGTTGCAACTGCCCACCCTAGAGGATCAGCTCATTGGCCTCGAGCTCTATGACGACCTGGCGCAGCGCATCCCCCGTCAGGATCTGGGAACATGAGTGGAATATGGCTGCGCAACCGCCCATACCTGGTTTGGTAAGTGTGGGGCCTTACAATTGGTTCTAGTAAAACGCTTGGCTTTCGGCAGGTGTTAGTGATAGTGGAAGCTGCCAGGTAGCTTTGGAAGCAAGCTGCTGACGTAGTCGAATGCGATACAAGCACTTATTTGTGCTTGTAGATTATTTGTGCTTGTAGACTGGAGTTTGGTAGTTGGGGGACACCAGGATTGCAAACTGCGAGACACCAATCGTGCGGAAACAGATGATGTGGGCGATGTTCAGTACTCAGCCACATTGATTGGCAGGGTATCGAATGCACACTAAATTGCGTAGCAACTCATTGTGTTTGGCATATTCTGTGTGTACTGTTTCCCGTGTACCCGGCGTTTCCCGGCAAATTAAATTCCCCGGCCTTCAAACGCTGTGTTTGGCGCCGCCACGCAACAGCGACAGGAAGTGGCCAGCATCGTGGAGCGCGTCGAGGCTGCGGCACAGCAGCGCTTCGGGCTGCGCCTGCCGGGCGGCCCAGCGGGTGGAGCAGAGGGGGCAGTTCAAGTGCCGTAAAGGTGTCAAATGTCTGAAGCAGAACATGGAGTTGATGGAGTCAATGTATGTGTTTGGATATGTTTGGATGCATGTTGGGGGGGGGCTTCTGTGGTTGAACTTTGTGTTGTTTCGTGGTGATTTCCTGTTTGCGAGAGCAGGACATTTGGCTTTAGGGGCCCTGGCATTGGGGGCACGCGGTGGTTGACTCAATGTGAAGCCTTTGCAGTACCTACAGGCTAAGAACAACTGTAACCAATACAGCTACGACTGGTATCATCTACCAACCATTGTACCACAAACTTTCAAGTTTAATTGAAATTAGACGGCATTGTTATTTCTTTGGCAGACCCGTAATTATGCGATTTGTGTTGCTCTGAACCGAATCAACTCTCATGACTTGAACCGAGTGGTGACTAGGAGTGGGAAGGGTTGTAGCGGGAGTGCGGAATTTACTTTAGGAGTAGTTTGCAAGTGGTATGTGAGTAGTGAGTGACTTGAGATGACTTTAATGGACCAGATGCAGTATCACTGCCCGGAGTGCATGTTTGTGGCCTTCACTCTTTGATTCAAGCCGAACTGTGCTGTTTCCGGAGGCGCGTGGAGGCCTGCGGCTCATACCGCCGTGGGCGGGACACTTGTGGAGCTACTCGGTGAGGCGATGTGTGGCGCAATTTGGTGAATTTGTCATATTCGGAAAGTGTATCCGAATGGTGGCGAATTTGGATATTTTGGTTGTAAGATATATATAAACTTAAACAATCATTAGGTATATATGATGGTTTTTTGTGTCCCCGTCATCGCTCAGGACGTCGACCTGCTCCTGTGCTGCAGATGGGCTGAGGATGAGGGGCGTCTCAGCTGCCAGGAGATTCTTCAGGCCATTGTGGCCGAGTTGACTGCACAAAAGTTCCTCACTCATGACTTGAAAGGCAGCAGGCGGGGCGGATACGGTTGGGGAGAGGAAGATGGGGAAGGGAGGAAGGCACGGCGGGTGTTCGGGTAGACAGCTGCACCTTCCACAAGCATGGGTATGGAACGCCTGTGAGGTGGATGGCGCTGGCATGCACCATACCCTGTGGTTCAGGATGCCCCTAGTGCATTTACCCTGAATAGTTTGACATCGTATTGTCGCTTTGCAGTACGTGGGTGTACCCGCGTACCCCTTGTGCTGCTTGGAGGGAGGGACCTTGGATGAACGCAATGAAGATCAAGGACATGAACATTCTCCAGGCAAGGCCTTCACCCGCAGGCCAAACGGATCCAAAAGTCCAAAAGGCTTTGATTCCAGCCTACTCAAGTCGATCCAATCTACCTCAATCTACTACTGCAACTCGCTGGTCGGCCTCCGAGGCCAGTCTTCCACATCTTCCATGTTTCACGTGTTTTTTTTCCCACATGTTGAGGATGGAAGGCACACCCAACATCCTTGCAACCCTGACTCTTTTGCCTTTTCATCCGACACCCGAAGAGGGGAACGGTTCACCCCCCCTTCCCTTTAGCCACCATCCACCGGAACCGGTTTCCGGTTCCGCACCAGGTATGAGGACCCGTTTGCGCGCGGCGAAGCTTCACCTCGCTCGGCGTGCTACTTCGGGGTGTGCAAGGTGGGCCAATGCCACCGGCGGATCGATCTCAAGGCCGCCGGCGAGCGGGTCCGGACAGGTGGTGGGTCCGGTGAGGTGGAGTGCCCTTGGTGGCCCTTGGTGGTTGAACTGGGATGCGGAGAGGAACTGGGAGCAGAAGTGGAGGAGTAGTTGCTGTTTTGGGCTGGGAAAGGTTTCGGATCAATCTATAGGGAAGGAATCGACTCGAGTGAGCGTTTTGTTTGGATGGCCTCCGATCCGGCCATCCAAGAGGAAAAAAATAAGGTCCCTGGATGTTGGAAGCATATAAAGTACTATCATCAACTGTCATCCACTAGAATCAACCAACAAGTATATAGTTGATGACACCGGTTGAACCATGTTGAGTCATTTGCTAGAATGAACCTGCTTTTGAGCCCATCCACGTTGCCAAGGTACATCCTTTGGTGGAGCTCCTTGGACATAGAAGCGAAGCAGAGCGTTTCTGCCTTCCGGACTGAGAAGTGAAGCGTCCTTTTCCTTTGCTACTGCATCGACACAAACCGTTTCAATACAAGCGAAGCAAATGAAAAGAGTGGAAAGAACTTGGCTCATTAAAACAAGGCCTATATAGGCGGGACAACGTTCAAGTCAGCACAAATAGCTTGTCATTGTATGTGGAACCTTCTGTTCTAAAAAAACTCATGGTTGTTCATAATTGACGTTGAACATTACGTGAACGTCGACATTGGTCGGCACATGTCGACACATGACTCTTAATGCCAATGAAAAGGAATAACCATTGTTGACACATGTTGACACTCACAGAAAGTTGTGATAAACAAATGTGTGAGTGTTTGACAAGTAAGTAGCACATGTATTGAAGCATTGGAGCATGCTTGCCCAACAGATGCGTTTCTTCCAGGAAACATGTGTGCGTGTACACGTCAACACAAGTCGACATATGTTATGTAACAACCTTTATGATGCCACATATATCAGATATGTGTTAATAAAGGAAAATGTTTGCAACACATTATGTAAAGGAAACTGTTTGCAACACATGAAACACGTGTTTGTCCCGTTTAAACTGACTGATTAAACCGCAGGGCTTTTGAATACAATCAATAAAGTGAGATTTCCTGCTTGGAGATGTGCCCCAAAATGACCTTGCTTGGAGCAGCTGTCAAAGACCTGGATCTTGGCAAATCAACTCTTTGTCCAATACACAGACTCAGATTCCTCCAAGCCGAAATCGCAACGCGAGTGTCTAGTCACGCGAGTCGAAACCAGAACGACACTGTCCGCAGCCCCCCCGGCATGTTGAGAACTGGTGATAAACACGTTGCGGCATATGGCCTCAACATAACAACTGGACATTACTGTGCAAATTCAGCATAAGCTGTCTCCATGTGGAGTCGGCGTTCCTAGCTGCAATGTGCACCATGAGGCACCGAGAGGAAGCTGTGTCGGTACCTGGGTCTAGGGCCGGTGCCAGGCCGGGCAGGCTGAAGCGACGTCGGCTCCGGTGGACGCTTGGGTCGCCCAACCGTGGACCGAGGTTCCCCTTCGCATGGCTCTCCTTCACGGGATCGGGGCCCTTCAACCGCCGCTCGGGCCAAAGGCGAAAGGCGTTCGCACGGATGGAGCCGCAATGGCCCGGGCATAGGTTAAGGTTGTTCCATTCATCCGCGGTGGTTTCGCGGGTGCACATTGACTTTGAAGTGGTTTTTCATGGCGGCTCGCTCGTGCTTTTGTCCAGCAGTTGATGGGGTACCACCCAGGCCCGTCCAGCGGGGTAGTGACGGCCAAATCTAATCAAAGGAAGTTTAGTGTGCAAAACTTCCGTGTTACGGACATTCAACAGCTGTTCAACCACCACTCATCATACCACCACTCATCATACACCACTCATCATACACCACTCATCA